GGTAAGGCAGGGACGCCTATGGAAAGCCGCGTCCGCCAAAAATACCAAACAATCCATTCAACAACAATTCAAACGCACCAAATTCAAACCATTCAAACATATTCCCAATTATTCAATAGGACGTCAAACCATTCAGGTAATAATCTCACCATCACATTCAAGGTGTGACCATCTACCCCTAAAGCAAACCACACTATTCAAGACCATCTAACATAAACTCAAACCGACTAATGAACACTGAAACCGATCAGTCATAAAAGAAAAAAAAATTATCTTGTGTATGACTATGTAATCATTTATTTATTTAAGATTTCTTTATTCAGGATGGAAACATTTCAATGACTAGCGCTGCCTCTCTAGGAATGAATTCAGAAAAATGATAACTTGAACAACAGTTACATGTTTTCATAAGCGTAAAGGTAGTTCAGCTCAGCTTTTGCTAGACTAGCTAGTGAGTGAGAGGTATGGCCTTGGTCAGCTATAGGTAGTATGCCTAGGAGCTAGGCCTGGTTGTTAGGACTTTCACGAATGTAGAGCATTCTTTCTCTCATCAGAAATATATTTTTATGCTATCAGATGATCCGGCCATCTTTCTCAACATATTCAGGAAAAAAATCCAATGCATAAACTGTAGGCCTAGGCACACTCCCCGTGAGCCGCGCGCCGCGGGTACACGTAACAGTAAGTCAACCCATGAAAACGTAATTAAGATGACGTAATTTGACCTTGATCATGGATAACCGGACTTTCTACCAATCAGATACATGAATTTCATATGGTAATTAGCTAAATAAGCCGAGTCCGCCAAAAATACCAAACACAATCCATTCAACAACAATTCAAACGCACCAAATTCAAACCATTCTAGAATATTCCAAGTGATTCAATAGGACGTCACACCATTCAGGTAATACTCACACCATCACATTCAAGGTGTGACCATCTACCCCTAAAGCTGAATGAACTGATTTACCACTGCATTTTTCGGTGTACAGAGTAGTAGGAATGTGAAAACCCGGAGTTTGAAAAGTAGCTATATGTACTGCTTTATTACTGCATGGTTCGGTGTTCACAGTAGTACGAAAAACAATTGAATGGATTGGATTCACGCTCAATGGTTGGGCAAACGAGCAAACGAAATGTTTTTTGTGTTGGATGATGTTGTTTTAACAGAAAGACGTGAATAATAGATGTTTGTCTTGACGTCGAATTAAGTCATTTATGACTGATCGGATTCAGTATTCATTAGTCGGTTTGAGTTTATATTAGATGGTCTTGAATATGGTTTGCTTTAGGGGTAGATGGTCACACCTTGAATGTGATGGTGTGAGTATTAGCCTACCTGAATGGTGTGACGTCCTATTGAATCATTTGGAATATGTTTGAATGGTTTGAATTTGGTGCGTTTGAATTGTTGTTGAATGGATTGTGTTTGGTATTTTTGGCGGACTCGGCTTTCCATAAGTAGGGGGTTACCCCGATTCTATGGTTCATTTTGGCCCCTGCCGCGGTGGAATGATGTGACCATGAAGCTACTATAAGCGCCTCTTCGTAGTCGCGGACCACTCGCATACGTAATACAGGCCTGTAGCCAGGGGTTTTGTTTTGGTTTGGGAGAACCCTCCCCTTTTCCTATGTTTCAACGTTCTGCCATACAACCGACCCGTTATTCCAACACATAGATGGTAGACCTATATCTGCCCAATTTGTTTCAAGTCAGATTAAAAAATCTTTCGCTTTCAAAGGCTTGGACGCCGCATTATACAAAGGGCATAGTTTCCGCATTGGTGCGGCCACCCAAGCTGCATCTTTGGGCTGGTCGGAGCAAACCATTCAGCAGGTGGGTCGCTGGCACTCCAATGAATTCCGGGGTTATATACGTATCGATTCATTCAATTTATAGATTATCAATTCTCAAAATAACTTAAGACTTTTCAATAACATACAGCATTTGGCTCTTGCTTCTTCCGTCATATTTCTTAAATCCGAAGCGTATGAATTTCCTGGCTGGTTTGGGAGCGTACCCATCATGCTGATGGGCTTTGGGGCGATTGGCTCCTAAACACTTTTTGGTGTACTTAATCAGTATGTAAAGTATTTACATTTTATTCTACTATGGATTAAGCAACGTTTCCAATACAATAATGTATATTTCTATCGTAATTTTAATGTTCATGTATCCTTAACTGAATGTTAATGCATCATTTGGATGCATATGTATTATGCGTATGATATTTTGTTTACAATAAGTCCTTATGTTAGATAAGCGTTTAGGGGCAGCACAGTACATTATATGCCTATGACTATCTGTGAGCGGCTGCCCCTACCTCTGTTTTACTACTGTACGTTGTAAAATTCGGCGTTATTAAAATGACATATCATCATCATATAGGCTTACATGAGTGTTTGATAACGACTCTTTTATTTTACCTAGTGTGGGCTTGCGTGTCTGTCGTGTGATGCAAATTATATTTAGACGAAATGCAATTGTGTCTGGAGAAACCAAATAAGTCCAAAGGGCTTAAGCCTGGCTCCACCAGAGGGAAAATTGTAAAGTAATTGTTGAAAGGACATAGAAGACAAGAAAAAAACAAGACAGTATATATTACACAATAACGAGCAATAATAATAATGATAATAACAATAATAATGAGATAATGATAAATATAAATAATAGTAGTAATAAGAACAATAATAATAATAAAACAAAAAACAATAACAATAACAATAACAAAATATTAAATATTAAAATATTAAAGAAAATAATAAATAATGAGAAAATACAGAAATCAAGCAAAAATAAGGAGGAAAATAATAATAATAATAATAATAATAATAATAATAATAATAATAATAATAATAATAATAATAATAATAATAATAATAATAATAAAAGAACATACATGTAGTAATGGTCAATCACCAGAAAATTTCGCTGGTTGTTAATACATAGTTTGGCAAAATGCACCCTACAATATTCTCCTGACTCCTCATTTTGAGTTCAATTTTTTTAATGTGCATAGAATGGTATTTTTTGTGCATAGAAAGTATTTTTTTGATTACTTTTATTTTATTATCTAATTTTAAAGCATAACTTGCATGTAATGAGGTGAGGATGCATTATAAGAAATGTTTATAGTTATTACCCGAATATATTAACAAAAACATTAAACAGAGAGGCCCATGGTTAAGGCATGCATGAACGTACCTTAACGGTACATTAGATTAATTCTTGAAAGAAATGTTCATACTTTGAGGAGGGTAATTATAAAAATGTTTATCCTAATTACCTGACGATATTAACAAAACCATAGAACAGTAAAGGCATGCATAATATCCAATCAAGCAAGTATAGAAAGTTACTGTAGATTCATTAATGCAAGAAATGTTCATTTGAGGAGGGTAGAGATAGGTATCTCTAGCCACGGCGTTTTGAAATGACATTTACCGGTACACAATTTGAACAATGCTTTAAAAAGTACAGGTAATAGTATAACATGTAATGACACCTAGAGCTACGTCAATAATGGTACATGTCATAATAAATTATACAATTAAACATACATAATATTGAATGGTAAAGAAGAATATAATGCGAATCCGGGGTTTGAACCAGGCCTTCATGCGGATGCTTTAATCATCGACTGATCCAATGAAAACAGAGATCACTGGCGTACGCCGTCTTGTTAAACATTTATCGTCTCTTTCATGTAGGTTTTATTGCATAGGCCCAAATAACGAATATATGAAAAACAAAATTTCATACAGAAGTAAAATATTAATTTATTACTAATCAGGACCAAAATCTCAACTTGGGGGATCATATCTTTAACATTTCCAAAACCATCTTACGTAATACATGCATTATCACCAAACTCCGCTCCATGTTTCCAAGTCAAATTTTTAAAAATTCTCTACTTCATCTTAGTTTTACCATGGAGGTATAAAATACTTACCATACAAGACAATCTTCACAATTCCATCATACTCGCCCTCGAACAGTCTCCAGGGCAAAATCAATCTTTGCCCTTGGTCCTATTGCTTGGAATGAACTACCACCCCACCCCTCCATAACTCTAATATCGGCATTTTCACGTTAAAAATATCTCAAAAAAATCATTCACTCAGGATAACACAATTATTTGCACATATTTAGCACAGTAGTTAAGCAATGCGACCTATTATTTACAAGTCTCTGGCTTCCTATAAGTAAAGCCATTTGCGTTGTTTGTTCAACATCTGTATGAAATAGAAATAAAATGAAATAAAGTATGTTCGCCTGTCCAGGGTAGTGTTATCTCAAACACCCCCTTTTCGGACATCTCTGCATCCGCCCCTGGTATAGTTAAATCAATTGAAAAAACTCCGCTCATTAAATTATAACAACAGAATAATATTTTTGCAAGAATTTCCAATTGGGTTGGTAGGTACCGTACATGGTAGGTATGATGTGTTTTGGCAGTAATATCACGGTTTGGTACAGTTACGAACCTGAATTGATTTTCACACTCTCTGGAGGATGTAATCTAATGTTTATGATGAAAGAGGTGTTATTTACTCTAAGTCTATTCAGATAAACTATCATACCATATTATTTGAACACTGTTATTATTAGTTTTGCTGTGTAGCAACGTAAACTTAACATAAAAAAAAAGATAAATAATAGTAACAATGCTCAAATAGGAGCTTACAATGTCAATAATCGTATCAAGCATAGCCCTTTAATGAGACGTCCCTATTTCAGTTGTATGAACAAGGTCTCGTAATCTCGAAAGCTCCGATGATTGCAGTATAATAGAGGCAGTATAGCATGTTGGCCCTAACGGCCGCCCATACAAAAAGTTAGCTTTTGTTAGTTTTTTTTTTTAAATTTTAGGTTAGCTCTTTAGATTTATTCACTTTAAAAGCTTTAGTTTGATGGGCCTCCTATTTACAAGCTCCCTGGAGTTTCTTGGAGGTCCATTTCATCATCTTTATAATTACGATTATCCTTATTTTGTAATTTGTTTTTATGGAATTTATTGATGAATAAGAATTTGATTTGAATAGGTATATGATAGACACAGTGCTTAATTTAAGGGAACAGGTGACGTTATAAACGTATCAGGCATAGCTTATCAACGAATAAGTTTCTAAACATCATATTTTGTCTATACAGTAGATATACTTTATAGCATGTTGTATAAACAAAACCATTCCACGTTGTTCCAAGTTGAGCCATAAATAAATCACGAATGTTCTCTTTTTTCCAGGTTGTGTACTATGTCATCCTTGAAAAAAAGACAAGAAGCTCCTGGAATATTTCTATAATAAATTACATCCATGTTCCAAAAAAAAAAAAAACAAAAAAAAAAAACAAAAAAAACAAACAAAAGAAAAAAAATCATGATCTGTCGTCTTCTTCATGTATGTATAATTGTATAGGCATAAATAACGAATTATATGAAATACAAAACTTCATATAGAAGTAAAATATGAATTTATTACTAATCAGGTCTATCAATAACAAGAGAGGCCAAAATCTCGCGTATCGTCACAAGAAGTAACGCCTTAAAAGTAAACAAAGAGACATATGTATAGTTAAATCAACTGAAAGACGCCCCGCATAAAATTATAACAGAATAATATTTTTTCAAAGTTATTTCCAATTGGGTTGGAAGGTAAGGCCTCGGTTCGTTGCAGTTACGAACATTAATTAATAGGCAGCTTCTCTAAACGCTGTGTTCTAATGTTGATGATGAAAGAGGTTTTGTTTGGTTTGCTCGAAGTCCAATAAGTCCATTCAGAAAAACTATTCTTGTGTTCAATGGTTGAATGGGTAAGAGGCGTGATGTCCCTTCTGTAATGCACCAATCAACTCACTTAATAAGGAAACGCCGTGTACGAAGACTTATCATTTAGTTGTCGTTACCTTCTCAACACAAATTATTTTTTTCTGTCCTAATGTCAACGTCATATGGATTCATAATATGACAAATAATTTTGGGAAATTAGTAGTGGTGCTGTTGGATGTGTATATCTGCAATTTTATAAATTAAGTGGTATCTAGGGATTATGCTTAGCGGATTTACAGATGCTTGGTTTACTATTAAGGTTATCTTGTCATCGTAAAATAAACTGTCCCAAGAGGTTGAACATGGAGCACATATGGAGGACACAAACTTTAAACAAATTTACAATGTTATTGATTTTAATTTTACTACAATGTCACCAGTTATATGCACAAGGTAAGTTCTTAATCATTCTAAAAGTTTAGAGCCCGTTTATCAATATGCATGCTACGGTTCGTGGTACATTATTCATAAAACTGAATGGTTTGAGGGTTATGATTATTGTAAATCTTGTTACCGATTAACATGCGCGGTCTTTTACCTGTACAAATATTATAATATAAATTTTGCCCAGGCTCAGTGTTCTTATTTTTTGGCCGATTTCAGGCTCAAAATATCTTGTTCTTATTTTTACACACTTTTCAAACACAGAAAATTATTATTGTACAGCTGTATATTACTGTACTGTAATAAAGAGGTATTGTATAGTATTACACATAGCCACACCTACTCCACATAAGGTACAGAAAAAAAATGTTTTGCTTTTTCTATTAAAAAAATAATAAAACCTCAGTTGATATTTTACCTAAGTTCTTATTTTGTTCTTTAACTTTTAAGCAATTTCAGCCTCAGTGTCCTTACAAAATGTGTTCTTATAAAAAGAAAAAGTGTAATTCTATTAAGTGACCATGGTGATCATTTGTAATTCATGGACAAGACCCCACATACACATTTTAATAATAATAATAATACCATATGAATTTAATTGATTGTCCGAAAGCTCTTCGTTTAAATCTAATACGCAGTGCGGCTTTCTTTTTCGAGTTTTTTTATTTTATTTATTTTTTATTTTCATGGTCGCCCCTATAATACAAGTTCGTTTTTAATCAGAAGTCTTTACCATTTACATACCTAGATTGTGAACTTTACTTTAACACAGCATACAAGATACTTGCCATTCAATACATTTATCAATCGTCGAGTTTAGTTTTAAAGTTCAAAACGAAGATTAAATAGATGAAAATGAATTAAATTTACCGTGATAAACAGTGGCCTTAATTAATAATGGGTTAAAGATCATTTAGAGGACGCTATGTTCTTATTTTGTTCTTAATTGTTAAACAATTTTAGCCTCAGTGTTCTTATAAAATATGTTCTTATATAAAAAAAAGTGTAATTCTATTAAGTGACCATGGAGATCATTTATAATTCATGGACAAGACCCCACATTCACATTTAATAATAATAATAATAATAATAATAATAATAATAATAATAATAATAATAATAATAATAATAATAATAATAATAATAATAATAATAATAATAATAATAATAATAATAATAATAATAATATAAGACGGCTTTATTTTCCGATTTTTTTTATTTTTTTTATAAAAATATTTTCATGGTGGCCCCTATAATACAAGTTCGTTTTTAATCAGAAGTCTTTACCATCTTACATACCTAGATTGTAGACTTTAACACAGCATCCAATACACTTGTTTAATATGTTTTCTAATCATTTAATAAATTTATCAATCATCGAGTTTAATTTTAAAGCTCAAAACGAAGATTAGATAGATGGATAATTTACCGTGACGAACAGTGGCCTAAAAAATACTGGGTTTTTATATATCATTTAGAGAGCGCTCTTCAGTTAATATAGCGCGTTTACCATAGTGTAAAACACAAAATTAAAAAAAAAAATTGTTCCGACCTCTTTAGGCGTGAACAACGCTCATGAATTGCACGCGGGATCTTTGAGACAAACAATTAGATTAATATGGTCTAATAATAATAATAATAATAATAATAATAATAATAATAATAATAATAATAATAATAATAATAATAATATTAATAATAATATGTGGATGGACTGTCTCTTATACACATCTAGATGTGTATAAGAGACAGTAGTAGTACTAGGATAGTAGGCCTAGGATTACACAATCGGTAATGCTCGAACGAGTTTAAATTGGAATGTACGTACAGTAGTATAATACTCACCATTGTCCTTGGAAGGACATTCTTTATAATTAAGTAGGCTCTTTTACATCAAGATCGTTACAGGGGAAACGCCTCAATCTGTTTGTTAATAATAAGCCTATCTGCATCGTGTTCATCAGTGTAAGATTTAGTTAAGATGTTTTTGTATTTGGATGCACCACTCGGAAACGAGTGAGTACCACTTATTTTTAAAGTGATTCCCAATCAAACGGTAAACTGTGTCTGCATTTATCGCATAGTATCGCAATTCATGACGAAATGTTTTTTTTCGTATCTCACTAAATTCATACTCTTTAATAATTCAGGGCCAGACCCATATTCATGCAACTCCTTTTCGACTTGGCTAAGCCTAAATGTACTATATTGACGGACATAAAATTTGTTTCATGGGTAAGGGATTGATAGAAATATCAGAATAGTAAAATAATCAGGGAGAGACGATGCCAGGAAACAATGGGATAGCTAGAGGCGAGAGATAATGACCGAGAATATTTAAAAACTTGTAACCGGCCTTTTTTACACCTTTTCCCAAAAGTTTTTGAACATTCAAAAATCTGTATCTCATTCACCGTTCCCCAGTTTTCGTCAAACAACTTTTTTTCTGTCTTAGAAAAATCAGTTCTACAACATAGGCCCTATCAAACAATTTTTTTCCTCCAGAGTCTGACTTTAAACAAATTAAGGCTGAGGTCAAATGTCAAACAAAAAAGTAACCCAACAAATCAAGATACATTACATATAGTAAAATAATACTACTATACAATAATAATTTTCTATCTATCTAAGTCTGTTAAATGAGAACAAAATAAAAACATTTTGAGTTTGTACAAAATGTAACTGGTTTTATTTTTTAACAAATGTGTAGGGCTAATAAAAATGGTAATGAGAATAGTGAATAGAAAATGGGAACAAAGAGTGATCATGAAAAGCATAATATTAAGATGAAATAACAATATCAATAACAATAACAATAATAATGATGATAATAATAAACAATAATATAATAATAATAATAGTATTGATAATGCAGGTGAGTTTGAGGATAAAATTAATGACATATAATAATAATAATAATAATAATAATGATAATGTGGTTATGATGATCAAAATATAATAATTATAATAATAATAATAAACACAAATATAATAATAATAATAATAATAATAATAATAATAATAATAATGCAGGTAAGAATGAGGACAAAATGAATGACAAATATAATAATAATAATAATGACATTAATGATGATGATGATAATAATAATAATAATAATGATAATGATATTAATAATATTAATAGGGCTTAGTAATATACTACAATACTATCATTACAGTATATTACTATTAATAATAATATTAATAGTAATATACTGTAATAGTATTGTAATAATAATAATAATAATAACATAGACAAATATATAAGAGTATAAGGACTTCCTTAATTATGTTTTCTGCATGGTGATCGTTAATTTTTACTTTCTACAGATGTAATTGTAGAATCAACGACGATGGAATTATATACGGATTCAACTACAGTTGAGGAAACAGTTACTCAAGACTCCACAACTCAACAGTCATCTACCGAAGGTAGGACCAAGATCATGTACTTTTGCCTAGATATTTTTAGAACATGCATTAGTTTAAAACTTCAAATCATAAAAGACAAAATCAATACGTAAATTAAGCTCACGTGAAGAGACGTTTGCCAAAAATCATTTTCAGGAGATGCAAATCGCAGCATAATCATTAGTCATTAATAACAGTGTCTGTGGTCATAGGCGTGTAACTCTATGTTTGCGTTTGGCATAAACAACTTTAATCACTACCTATGATCACCCAGGGGTGGCACCCCTCACAACACCATTCGTAGATTAGAAAACACTTACTGTTATATGTATTATAAACCCCTAAATTGTCATATTTTTCTGGGGTTCACCCTTGGACCACGTCTGAGGGATTTTGAGTGACGCCAGACCACACTCACTTAAACTCTCGTCAAATACATTTCCCCCACACCCCTCGGGGATATTGGACACCTCGTCGGGCAAATCCTAGCCCATCTTTGTGATCACCAAATGGACATATCTTCTCTCAATAGATCCGGATCAATGCTCGATGGATGTATTAAATAATTGTGATTTAGTTAACGGGTATTGTATTGATACAAGAAGCGGATACACATGTGGGTGCAACGCTGGATTTCAATTGGCCGCTAACAAATTCGACTGTGAAGGTAAATTTGAAAAGAATAATGTTAATAATAATAATAATAATAATAATAATAATAATAATAATAATAATAATAATAATGATAATAATAATAATAATAATAATAACAATGATAATAATAATAATAATAATAATAATAATAATAATAATAATAATAATAATAATAATAATAATAATAATAATAATAATCGACTGATGTAGATTCATCTATCCAGGTTGACAATAATAAATATCAATTAAAACTTATATCTCTGGATAAAGCAGAAAACAAAAGAACTTTACGTTTTAAGCTTTCGACTATCACTGTAGTCTTGTTCACAATGACACACGATGTTCTTTTGTTTTCTGCTTTATCCAGAGATATAAAGTTTTTATTGATATTTATTAATACTAATAATAATAATAATAATAATAATAATAATAACGTTGTTGATGATGATGATGATGATGATGATGATGATGATGATGATGATGATGCTAATAATGATAATGATGATGATAATGATAAGCCTATGCTGTAATAAATAATAATAATTTATCATGCACTATTAAAAACCGGTGAACATTGCGTTGGCTATGCCGACGCGATTTTATAGACCGTGACGCAATCGTCGTCGGAGGGTCGACGCCGCGGCGTCCACAATACAATTACAGTGTTATATAGGCGTATTCTTTACAAAAAATCCTAACCTGACAATATATGTATAGATATCAGTGCACAGTTACAAGCTCTGGAATTTACGTACTGTTTCAACGGAACGCTGTTATTTGGCACGGATGAAGGATCTGAAAACGGCACTGCTATGTGGATGGACCCGACGATAGTGAATAACACAGGAATACAAGTAACACAGAATTACCAATCTGGTACAACTTTTTCTATTGGAACGTATGAAGTGGTTTACTCATTTTCGGATGCGCAGGGGAATTTAAATAATTGCTCTTTTAACATTCAAATTTCCGGTAAGAAAATTCTTTACAACAAATGTTCTTATTCGATCAGTAAAGATTACAGTACCAGTTACCATGACATTACAAGTCCAAAAACCCATTGCTTGCCCGATACAATTACAATTACAATTACTTAAAAATTAAATATGCTTTTTCAAATAAAATACAAATAGACCTACTATTGGTCTTTTTTCATTTAAAAAAAAATAAATATGACGACCCTGGATTTTTGAGATTGTGGGTCGGCCTGAGTGGTTATCCTCCGTCAGATTAAAAACCGTCACCATCATTGTATCGCCATAATTATACCATCAATCTTCATAAATATCATCTCCATTGTCCTGATATTTATAATACTTTCACTATCATCGTAGTCGTCTATCATCATCATCATCATCATCATCATCATCACCATCATCTTCATCATCATCATCATCTTCATCAGCATCGCCCATCGCCATCATCGTCATAATCATCATCATAACCATTGTCAATGATCGTCATCATCATCATCATTAATATAGTAATTATTATTATTATGAATAGGCCCATTATTAATAATATTAGTATTCTATGCAATTTATTAATATCCCATGACCTGTATCAGACAAACAGGTTAAGCTTCTTTTACACAGACACGATAACGACACAACAACGACACGATAAAAATGCGTTTATTGTTAAAGAATATAAACGACGCGATGAGTATGTCGTTGTCTTGTCGTTATCGTGTCTATTACTTTAATATCATACAATACAGACGACGAGCTACCAAACGTTATCTGCCCAGCCAGTCAATTATATAGATTATCAGTGGGCGAAACTACAGCAGCGGTAAACTGGACGAGTGCTACTGCAACCGATAACGTTCAGATTGAGGACATATATAAAATTTCAAACGATGTTCCTGGAAATTATGAGGTCGGTACCTACATGATTACGTTTGGCGCCACAGATATTTACGGACTAGAAGGGATTTGTACTTTTTCATTTGAAGTTGCAGGTACACTTATTTATACAATTTAATAACATAACACTTTAGTTTCTTTTAGGATCTAAGTATTCGTATCTTTATGTATCTTACTGGGTTGTTTACTTTGTGAAGGCCTATTTTTTAATCATTTATCGGGACTCAAATGAAAAATAGAATGACAAATCAATTTTTCAATAACGGGAGCATAAATAATACATTTATATACATAGGCTGGTAAGCGTTTTAATCATTTTTTAAAAAATAATAAAACGTCTGAAAATCATAATAAAGGGTTTTCTTTCAACCTGTGTCTCATTTAAACTTGATAATATATTTGATTTGCTTAAACGAGCAATCCAATATTTTTTTTTCTACATTTTATGTTATTACAGAAGATATTTTTTCATTGTCAGTTTGTGAATTAGAAAACTCAAATTGTTAACATAATTTTATACGTGACGTAACTAGATGAGACGTATATTTTCAAGTTATTGTAAACAACGTAATAAAATGTAGTATGTAATTATGTCCACTCAGATTTATTTTGTTGCTTGAAAATAAATATCTCCATGATTATTAATAGATGGAATATACAATACACTTTCAAAAGCCATTACAAAATGCGTTTTTACGCCAAGACAATAAGATAATTACGTTTCCACGTTTCAGATGTAGTCTGCCCTAACTCATTCAGTCGATGTCCAGTTGTTGATGGTGAATGTATTTCAGACGAGTTTTTTTGCGATTTAAAAATGGATTGCCCTGATTGGGCGGATGAAAACGAACTCTCATGCGGTAAGCCGAATTATTTAATTTTAATATATTTTGTTTATTTACATTTATCGATAACTAAATGCACGTATACCTAAAAAAAAAACCAACTTTAATTTACAGATGACTGTTTGGCAACGCAAACTCGATGTGGCAACGCATACTGTATTGACACCAATCTATTCTGCGATGAATTTCACAACGATTGCCCATACGATGATTTTGACGAAACATCTGCATTATGTAATGGTGAGTAACCTTACTGGCTCGTTCAGCTCGTTAGGGACACAATCAATTATCATTATTGCTATTTTTTAGTAATAATTTTTTATGGTTTTATACTTTCAAATTGAATTTTTACACTTCATTGCAATGTTTTAATTATTCATATTTACCCCTTTTTGTTCGGTAATGCCGTATTTTATCCTGTTTTTTACTTGTGTTATTCTCTTTTTAATGTATCCACTGGAAATAAGGTTTATTTTTTTACCTTTCTTGAGTCATCTTTAGTATCTTGTCCTTGTCTTCCAGCTGTCATTGTTTGCTTTGTATTTTTTTGTATATACTGGTACTGAATTAAATCAATCAATCAATCAATCAATTAATCAATGTGTATGTTCATTAAAAGTCTATATAAACATTTGATTATCCTCATTTCTAAATTATATCTTTATTATTATTGTATATATACACTATCTTGTTCTATAATGTTTTGATTGTAAATATGCCCAGGAGTAGCCCTAGATTATGTCTTAGAGTAGAGAAAAATACCACAAAAATAAATACAGTATTTAGAATAAATAGGCATGTAGGCTAATTGTAAGTGTGTACTCAATACAATCTTAAAATGATATTTTATTTCAATAATATGATTGACATTTCTTATTAGGGAGTTGCCTGTCACCCGAGCCATTGAGGAATGGTGAGCAAACATTCCCAGAAACTCATCGCAGACGATACTTAAACAACCACACTATTGTGTATGTCTGCAACGAAGGCTTCACAATGACTGGTGATTCCACACTCACGTGTACTGACGGTAGTTTTGGAGATAATTTACCTCAATGTTTTGGTAAGCTTTATAATTTATTGTCCTGCTTTGATCATTATGGATTGCTCATCAAAATTTCGTCTAGTGACCTATATTCCACCTGTGCGGTCCAGGTTCAATACTGGAAGGGGAAAATTTACTGGGGTAAATATACCGGTACCGTAGGTTTAAACTACCGGTACCGAGCATAATATTAATAAACTTCCCACCTTGCACAAAATGCGTGTATTTTTTTACCCTTCATTGTAAAGTAATATGTAAAATAACATATTAAAAAATGTTATAATAAAAACCTGGCACATAGCGTTAATAATCTTACGTACTACTAAAATCGGCCAAATGCAAAAACATAAAAGTTCAAAGTTGTAAAGAAAAGACATTTTAGAAGACTGCCGATAGAGTATGATGCGTTTTTTTTCCTTTACGTATTGTATAAAGCAATGTGTTCTCGTCCTGATGCACCAAGTAACGGAGCTTTTACTGGCAATGCTGTGGTCGATCATGGTGATATTATAACATTTAGCTGTGATATCGGATTTGAAGTGCAGCCCGCCAGTCCTACAACGTTCACTTGTGACGATGGCTCATTTGGCGACGGCGTGTTTAAACGTTGTATAGGTAATCTTCGATTTCGATTTATTTCACAATGTCACATACCATTCACATGTGTGCCAATGTATGAAAATATAAAAAATGTAAGATGTAAGGAATTACATTAGAAGCAATGCTTTAAGCATATAACCATTTTAAATGATGACATAATTAATTTTTAACAACAGAAAAAAACTTAATGTAATAAAAAAAAAAACCACTATTTTACACTCCTTTGAAAAATTATGTTCCTTTATCATAACATATAGCTTTATAAGATACGAATTGATTGGCTGTATTTTTATAGATTACATATTTAAGGATAGGGATTTCATAAAGTACTACCTAGATAGGTCTGGGTAGTCCTAGTCTGCCTTTGAAATCAATGTTCTTTAATTATTTTGTTAGACATTAATGAGTGCGAAGATAGTAATGTATGTGACAGCAATGCAGATTGTACAAACACAATTGGGTCGTACACTTGTGATTGTGTGGACGGATATGAAAGCGATGGATCAAATACGTCACCATGCACAAGTAAGTACACACCGCAGCGTATCAATATCATTATCATTCATATTTTAATAAATTGAGTTTATGGGACTATGTGTGATATATGCAGTACCGGTAGCGTATCTAGGAGTTTTGAAATGAGAGGTTGCTGCTAAAGGCGCATAGATGAAGTTTGGAGGGGGAGGCTCGATGTTAAGGTTAGGTGGAGCTAGCCCGAAATATTAGGTGATAAGAAGAGGTGAATATTAACTACTTTTTCAGTGTTCTTATTTTTCGTTCATATTTTTACACACGTTTCTAACATACAGAATTATTATTTTACAGCAGTATATTACTATATTATAGGGTATTCATGAAACTTTCCTCTATGGTAATGCATAGTCCTTTTATTCCTCCGTGGCCACACCTACTGCAAATAAGGATTTGTTGGTTTTTCTATTTAAAAAAAAATAAAAACCTTATTTGACATTTTACTTCAGCCTCAGACCAAATATAATAACCTTGTTTATTATGTATGTATGTAACTATAAAGAGCAAATGTAATAACCTTGTCTGTATGGATAGCATTATTAAATAAGTTGAAATAGATAATCAAAAGTATCTTAGTTTTATAAAAAAAATAATAATTATGTAAAAATTATAGTTTTTACTTTCAGTAATTCATTTCTTATATTATTTAATTACGTTGCTGCCTCATTTTTATAAATATTTTCCATGTAGGCCTAGATATTGTTAATGTTACTTGTGCAATTTATTTAATAAAGATTTGTAAAGTGGGGTGGGGAA